TTAGGTCATCAATTGGGATAGTTTCTGATGTATTGACATTAGCTGATGTGTCGTAGTTTAATAGGCGGTGTTTGCTGATATTGATACTCGTATGTACGTTGGAAGTTAGACATATGATAAGAAGGCTGTTGCACTATAGAAGGGTAATATGGTGACTGAGGTGGAGTGAAAGACATTGAGTGAATAGATGATGCAGTTGGTGATGACAGTGGAGATGAAAATGACATTGAATTGGCTGAACTGGCTGAAGGTTGATTATTAATATTAAATTGAAAATTTTGGTTACCAGGATTATTATGAATATAGTTTATTTCAGTAGTGCAAATAAGACTACTTATTTGATGTTGAAGCATTGTTTTTGTACGTTGATCAAATAACTCCAGTTTACTGGCATCATACTCACCAAAAACAATACTATCATTCTTCACTTTAGGTGTTTGCCTTTTATTGGAAATTTCTTTTATTAATTTATATGTTTCGATTATCCTAGGGTCTTCCTGATTTTTTTTTTCTTTTTAATCCCTTTGGTTTTTGTGGTGAAACAAAAACTTTTTCTTTTTGAGGTTGCTCTTCATTTGTGTCATGTTCACTATATTTATCTTCCACAATAGATTCGATTTCAATAACGTCTTCATATGATTTATCATGTTCTATATGCGTGACAATCGGCTACAATAAGAAATTATAAATATTATGCAACATTTTTTCGGCGAAAAAAACGAATAATTCTTGAATCTTAATCGAATGTTTATTTTATCATATTTTATGATTCTTTTATCATAAAATACTCGTTATTTCAAAAAGTTTTTTTTTTTGAAAACAAAATATATTTCATAATATTTTTTACATATAGTTTCAACTTTCAAGTTGTTGAAAAACAACGTTTTTATTAAAAAATTATTTATTTAAATATTTCTTATCCTTATATTTTTTTAATTTTTTTTCTTTTTTGAACGACAACATAGTTTTAATTTCATATTCCAAAGCAGAATAATTTTCTGAGCATTTTGATACATAAAAATCGAATTAAGGACGAGTAATTTATGAATTATACGTATTTAATGTTTAGACAAGCGTAGTAGTGGACAAATATTTTTTAACTATGTCAGTACTTGCGTTCGCATGGTTATGAAAATATTTATATCTTTTATTTTATTTTTACACGTTAAAATAATTTAAAATTTTTCTTATTACATATTTTAGATTCTGAACAGAATCAGTTTTTATTTTTGTCTGTGTACAGCATAACTAGTCGAAATAATGCTTCAATTTCAAACTTTGGGGATGGTTTCCGATGACAAAGTGGATATCCTTGGTGCATTTTAAAGGTTAAAAGTAAACATTTTCCAACAGTTTTTAAAAAAATCGAGAAAAACAAAAAAAAAAATGACAGAAAACGGGAATTTTTACGCAAAAACGTTTTCAACAAAATCGAATTTTTTATTTTGCTATTACTTAAAAACTAATCGATGTAAATACTTAAAATTTTCACCAAATGTTTATATTAGCGTTTTCTATACACAATTATATTTTCAAAGTATTTTTTTTTTAAATAACGATAAAAATTTTTTGGCCGACCAAAAAATCTTTAAAATATAATACAACGTTTCTCATAAGTTATTGTAATAGCAGTTGAAAAATATTAATATATTTAAGTAAAAATTAAGTAATATGTATATGTTACCGGCAGTATGGATAATCCGGTGTTTTGTGAAATGCCTAGGCATTATAGAAAATGCCAAAAATCACTCGGAAATATGCACAATACGAACTTTGCCTAGGTATTATGTATAATGCCAGAAGTGAAATAGGAAATATGATCAAAATAAACAAAATTGGGTATCGACTATTACTAGAGCGCGGTTTTGCAGGATTGTTTATTTAAAATTACAAATTAATTAATAATAAATCTATTATTTCAATCAATCTATTATAATTATAAGATAACTGACAAAATCAAAAATGTGAAAAGAAAAATATACAGTGCGCAAGTCTGCGCTTTACCTGACTAATTATTCACCAACGACTTTACTATCGTTTATTGTAAATGCGTGTGCCGGCCGCCGCGTGATGATTTGACACAATAAAGATAAGAATCTTAATCTTTTGCATCAGATTCATACCCTACTATAAAATAATAATTCTGACGAACTATATTGAACATATTTTTATTATTTTATCGTCATTTCGTATCTCGTCGCGGTGTGAACTAATTGAACATTCTTACTTTTATTATTTTATCGTCATTCTCGTTTCTCGTAGCAGTGTGGCATTATTATGGATACGATTAATATGAAGTCAAATTTTATAACGAACTACATAAAAACCGTAAAATTTGGCTAATAATACTAGTTTTGTCTGATGAAAATATAACGAATTGATAGAAATTATTGCAGAATAAAACTGGACGTGAAAAACTAAGACTTCCGTTTAATCAAAGGTAGAAATTCATATTAGAAAAATACTTAATTCAGGGCTTAAATTTAAAAAAAATATATTGTTTTCGTAATTTTAACCGAGGGCTGGGGCTGGGATTTTGATGCAATGTCATCTTTTTTCTGGTGTTTTGAAATTATTTTTATTCGTTAGTATTTAAGTAATTAATTATTTGTTAATAAATCATTAATTTGTAAATTTTAAATAAATAAAAATATTTTAATGTGATTTCTACTGCATATTATATGGCGTATTTCGATACTTTTAGTGCATAGAAATCCGCGCCTTGAACCCTGTATATAAATACTTTTATAAATACAGCCATCTATTTTTTTATTTAGATTTATTTTAATTGATTTATTTCTGTTATCGTAGGTATGATATACTGGTTGTACAAGGAAAACGAAACTTATATTCCTGTAAAGATGACAATGTTGTTCTGTATTATGTTGCCAACCAGTGAGCTATTTGATATATTGCAAGCCACACATGTATCAATAGGACATGGTGGGCGTGATCGAATAATCAAAGAACTTGGTAATAAATATAAAATATAACACGTGATATAGAGACATTTTGCATTTTGTGAACCATGTCAGCAAAACAAAGGCTCGAAAAAGTGTGGATTAAACCAATAATATCTCCAGACTTTATTCCCGATGCCAAAAGTTGATTTAATAGACTTCCAGTCATCCTGATGGAAAATTTAAATTTATTATGGTGTACAGGATCACCTCACTAAATTTGTTCTCAAGCCCCTCCGAATTTAAACGGGCTGAAGAAGTCTATAATATTATAGATATTTTTACGTTGCTTGGAGCTCCTACTATTTTGCAGTCTGATAATAGACGAGAATTTTCAAACCAAATAGTGTCTAATTTAAGAAACATGTGGCCCGAATTAAAAATAGTACATGGCAAACCGGCACAGTCAATCTCAAGGTAGTGTAGAATACCGTCAGGATATTGAAAATATGTTGACAACGTGGATGCAGATGAAAAACCGACACTGAACGAAGGACTCGATTCATCCAGCTTATGAAAACCGAGCTATCATTCTGGTATTAAAATGTCTCCATATGAAGCTTTATTTGGCTGCAAAACTAAATTGGTCTAAACACTTCAAATTTACCACGTGTAATAAGTACGATGAAAATGAAGAACGTGTGAATTAATTACAGAATGATCACAAAAGTCGAAAATGAAGTATCAGCTGACACAGAACATATCACAGAACAACCACAAAATATTGAAAATGAAGTAACAGAACAGAAAAATTACAGAACAACCACAAAACATCGAAAATGAAGCATTACATACAGAACAACAATTAGCTACAACTATCAAATTAAATAGCAGAAAGCATAATGTCATGCGAACTAAAGCCAAGAGGAAAATCTTGAAAATCAAGCAAAAATGATGGCGTGTGGTCGGATGAAAGCTATTACCATTGACAATTCATTCAACTGTACGTGTTCAGTTCTGAGGTAGATAAAGGACGTTTAGATGCAAGTATACTGGCAATTGTTTTAGAAGTAATAAATAAGTTTAAAAATTGTAAATTTAATAATAATAACTATAAGATATTTATTTTTAGGTGATAGTGATGGTTTTATCGATTAGGAACTCGGGATGAGTTATGAAGCAGTTATATGCCAGAAGTCAGTTTACAGTATGTCAGAAAAAGCTACTACAAGTGACGAGGTTCAATAGAGACAGAAGTAGCATTACAGACAGTCATAAAGGAACGCAGTCTAGGAACTGACCAAGGATTTTTAAATGTATTTGTAGTATTTGTAAGATAGTGCCAAAATAAAAAGTGCATTTGCCTTAAAAATAATGTTTTGTGCACTTCAAAATGTCATTTCTACAACATTTGTAATAAGTAGCTATTAGTTTAAGTAAAATGTAAATAATATTACTTAACTAAAATAATAATAATACAATAATAATAATATATCAATGTACTGAAAATATAGTAATAGATAAAATTAAAAATTAATATAATGTTTTAACAGATTATGAAAATTGTTTGTTATTTCTTTGCTAAAAGAAATTGGCATTTACATAATGCCTAGGTATTTATAAAATACCTAGTTATATTAAATAATAATATAAACATTATATGTTTATTTATATTGCCTAAAATGGGTCAATATGCATAAAGCCTAGGTGTAGTTTGCAAAATACCTGAATTGTCTATATTGCCGGTAACATATATACAGATCAAATTTTGACAAAATTTATCAACATATCGCGAATACTTGCAAATTATTTTTAGGTAGTTAATAAATAAAAATATATGATAAAACATTACATTTTTATAGCTAAAGTCTGTAGATTTAAAATGTTTTGTATAAGCAAATAATTATAAGATATTAAATATTTTTGTCGATTTTAGATACCTAAAACCCAAGAAGAGTGGTTAAACGTTGCAAAAAAATATGAATACGTTTGGAATTTCATTGCATTGGTGCAATTGATGGGAAACATGTACAACTACAAGCACCAATTGGTAGTGGAAGTGATTTTTTCAATTATAAATCAACTTTCAGTATAGTGTTAATGGCGGTTGTTGATGCCGATTACAATTTTTTATATGCTGATGTCGGATGTCAGGGCCGAATTTCAGACGCCGGAGTTTTTCGAAATACATCTTTTTTTAAACAGCTTGAAGAACAAAAATTAGAGATTCCACCAGCAGAAAAATTGATTGGACAGGAAAAGGCAGTACCATACGTATTTGTTGCAGATCAAGCATTTCCTTTAAAACAGAACGTACTTAGACCTTACCCCGGCTCTCATGAAAAGGGATCGGATAAAAGAATTTTCAACTACCGTTTGTCGAGAGCCCGGCGAGTTGTCGAAAATGTTTTTGGTATTCTATCTGCCGTATTTAGGGTATTTAGAAAACCGATGCTACTTGAACCTCAGAAGGCTGAGGTTATAGTAATGGCATGTGTATACCTACACAATTTTCTAAGAAAAGAAAAGTCAACGAGAGATATTTATTCACCAACGGACTTAATTGATCATGAAATTGAAGGGCACCTTGTCGATGGAACGTGGAGACAAGAAATACAGACTAACAGTGCATTCACTCCTATGGAAAGGGTTGGAAGAAGATCATCACGTTCGGCAGAAGAAATTCGAGATGAATTCGCTGAATATTTTTCAAGTGTTGGTGCAGTGCCATGGCAATCAAAATTAGCATAAGAATCAGAAATAGTTGACATAGAATTTACTCATAATTTTAATATTAGTAGAAAGTTGTAAGTAACTAGTATAAATATAAATTGTGTTAATATATTTATTAAATATTTATCAATAACGAAATAAAGAATTTATTTATTTATTTAACATTTATGAATCTAATATAAGATAGGTACAAAAATAATTATCATTATTTAGATGTGTTGTAAAAAGCCGACGTATTTCGGAATATTTCTTGGTAATCATTATCAAGTATTGTCTGACTATCGAAAAAAAACGGTTTTTTTGTTGACAATAAGCACCGTAATAATCAGGGTCCAGTATACAAAGAAAAAGGTCAGTTGGGTTCCGTTTAAGCGTATACATAAATGAATAGAAATGTATTTAAGATATATAATGTTATGGTTTTCAATTTTATACTAACTCAGTGATGGGAAAGAACGCGTTCAAGTGAACGCGTTCATTATTGTGTGAACTTGACATGAACGAGTTCGATTTTCAAGAAATGAACTTTAACGTGAACTAAGTTCTTATTAATTATGATTTTGAACGTTTTGGGTTCGTTCATTGATAATTTAATTTTCATACGATAACGTTTTGAAATGTTATGTAGCCAATCAGGTGCCTTCTCAAGAATCAAAAGATATAATTTGTTTTTAATTTTGTTTATTTTTAGTTTGGATATTTATGTTTGCTCTGAAATTACGACACCGTTGATCGCCGATATAATAGTAAGAATAGTATATCATTTATAGTATTGGTATATTATTATAGTTCTGTTGTAACTTGACATAATAAAATAAACTATAAAGTGTTATAAATAACATTCCCAAAACTCGTTCATACAAATTATTTTATGCTGTATACAGAGTGTTCCACAGATTACAGGGTGATTGGAAAATATAAAACAATTTTTATCACGCAATCAAAATTATTTTTAATTATGATTTTACTTTCGTTTATTACTCAACATTATATAATCCATGTCCACGACCACTACGAACCTAGTGGCGGTTAAATTCCAATACACACGAAACTGCAGTACTGCACGTTTTTGACTTTTGTGTCGCGACTCGCAGATTATAGGACATAAACTATCGGCTATTATTTATGAACTATTATTATTTATTTAGTATTCACCTATTGGCTATTTGGTTATTTATTTTATTTATTAAAATAATAAAATGTCTGACAATAATGATACTGTCGATATTGATGACCATACAGGAGTTGAAAGTGATTTATTTCGTGGTTATTTAAAGTACTTCCATTTAAAATCGAAAAAAGTTAATTCGAATAATTCAGTCAATTTATATTTTGAATGTTTACTATGTAAGCCAAGTAGTAAACTTTATAGTGCATCAAAGACGTCTTTGACAAATTTAAAGAGACACATTGAGGTATGTTTAAATAATATTTTAATATTTTAATATTTATCATTTTATTTAAAGTTAATTAACAATACACTTAGTAGGTACTGAAAGTATACTTCTTAATAACTATTATATTGTTAATTTTAATTACCTGTTTTTAATTAATATTATTTGATATTTCCATAGAAAATACACAAATACAAATGCAAGACCTTTTTAGCTGATATTGAGGAAGCAAAAATAAAGAACAGTGATCACATAATTAATTCTAAAAAGCGCAGTATATATGACTCTTCTACTTCTCAGCCTCAGTTAAAACAAATACACATTGACCGTTATGGATCTGGTAAGACCGCACCAATTACACAAAAAATTCTAGACAATGCTATAGTTAAATTTGTTGTTGATGAAATTCATCCTTTACAAATAGTTGATAAACCATCCTTTATAGAATTGGTACGTCTTGGGTTACCAAAAGATATAAAAATTATGTGTAAAAAAACTTTATCAATTAAAATTGAACAATCTATTTTGGATATGAAAAATGATCTGATAGAAAAGTTAAGCAAAGTGTCATATGTTGCAACTACAGCTGATGCCTGGTCTAATGGTAAAAGAAGTTATCTTGGTATTACTGTGCATTGGATTGATCCAAAAACTTTGTCACGTTGTAATGGAGCCCTTGCATGTACCCGTTTAAAAGGGCCTCATACTTATGATGTGCTAGCTTAGTTATTATTCAACACATATGTGTCTTTTAAAATACAAAATAAAGTTATGAGAACAACTACCGATAATGGTCGCAATTTTGTGAAAGCTTTCAATGTTTTTGGAGTTGATATAAACAACACAGATGTATGTAGCGATGAAGCAGATGATAGTGATACAGAATTTATTGAATTATTTGACATATTATCTACTTCAAATACATACATGAATGATGATGACTTTAACAATATACATCTGCCCCCCACATTTTCGTTGTGCAAGTCATACTGATGCGTACCTGGTGGTGGAGTGGGACGGTGAGGTGGTAACAGGTAGCACAAGAAATGAAAAACACGAGGTGTAAGTTCAGTAAAAAACGGTATGAGCCGATTTATTGTGTATTTAACAGTTAATGAATTCAGAACACAATGGTGAAAAAACAACACTAGGCGGGATCACTGTTGTCCAGGGAACAAAGGGTTCACAGTCCCGTTGAACAAAATAAAACCCGAGGGTATTGGTTCGCGTACGGCGTATGATGAAAAACTGACTCCCCGGTCGTCGGACCGGTTCGCGGTATCGGCGGTCAAGACGTTCCGACGCCGTTGATCGTGCGTCGGCGTCGTCCGTCGTCGCTGGCGGTTGGATAGAGAAGTCGTTCCGCGGTTTTCCGCGTAAAGGCCGTTTGAATTCAAACGACATATTACGCGGGACCGCGTCAATACGTTGGACTTGGTGGTCAGCAAAGATATTGAAACCTACTTTAACGATATAAAACATACTAACAAATTAGATAACCATTTTCTTAAATTAAAAAAACTATACAGGAAAGTATTAGCTAAGTGTCAAAAGGTATGGAATAAACAAAACCAATCTACTGGAGTAGCAGAATTTATAAAAGAACAATTCAATTTTTATTTGAAAACACCAGTAGAAACGAGATGGAACGCAAAATTTGATTCTCTACAACAAATTAATAATATTTTGAAAAATTCTCAAGGATTAATAAAAATGAATAAAATAATGGATCAATGTGAACTTGCCCGATTGGATTCTAATGATGTACAACTAATTAATGAATATTGTGAAGTTATGGAACCAATTGCTTCAACATTAGATTTTCTTCAAGGTGAAAAGGGAATGTACATGGGATTTTTTTTACCAACCATACATGTATTAGATAAGAAACTTGACCAGTTATGAAAGAAAAAATTCATCATTATAACACCATTACTTGAAGCTCTTCATAAATGTTTTAAAAAAAGGTTTGAATTTAAATAAATCAAATAATAAATTTTATGATTATACATTTATACCTAATTACATAATTTAATTTTTTTTTACTTTTAGGTTTGACACAGTATGGATGGAAAAAAATTTGGTTATTGCTGCATGTTTACACCCATATTTCAAACTTAGTTGGCTTGAAGGAGACAATAAAAATCTTGCTGAAGTTTGGTTAAAATCAATTTTTGAATGTTTAAGTCGTCAGTCAGATTCAGAAATTGAAGTTGAAAGTAATGATGACAATTTTGAAAATAACTTTTTTTGTTTGCCTACTAATCATTTGGCCAATTCAATATCTACTGATCAACTGCAATTATACTTAAACAGTAACGATAAAGAACTGCAAAGTTTAATCAATTGGCCCATGGTTAGAGAGAAATTTATACAGTATAACTGTGGAATGCCATCAAGTGCACCGGTCGAGAGATTGTTCAGTACAGGAGGAAACACAATGACTGTCATAAGACTGAAACGGGACTTGTATTATCAAGTCACCGCACCATAAGAACACAAAGTCGTTTGGTTTGTGTAAATATAACAATACGTTTTATTTCCATATATTTAAAATAATTATTACAAATATTTGGGGCGTTGGA